TCCTTCTTTTGAGAACTGTTCTATTCTATTCCTCGAAATAGAACAGGAATAGAACATTTCAACAAGAATAGAGGCATCACTACCTGTGACATTCATAATCACAACCAACCACCATTATAATAATTCAAATACCATCCATTTATATAATGACCAACATCCGAACAAGTGTAAACCACTCATTCCATAGCATCTTTTCTTCTAATAACATGTTCCTCTCGGATGCCCTTTAATAGAGCGGCTCAATGATTGAGTAAATAAATAATATGTTTTGGTAGATGAGAGTATACCGTGAGTAATCAATCATTTATCGTTGATATTTTCATTGCCGTTGTGATTTATAATTATTTATTTAAAAATGAAATTAACTATAATGATGACGACAATATTAGTTATACTACTGTAATTATCATTATCAGCATGATTCAGTTGGTAAAATTGTAATCATAATTACATCTATCGTTGTTTTCTATTTCTGTTATTATGATACTGCAGTTTGCAAGAGAACCAGTTTGCAGCGAGCAAACCATCCAGAAAACATTTTAGCAGCGGTTAGCTTTTTAGCGTCTCACCTTATTTATATTTTTTCAGCTCAATCTCACCTTAAGACACGCACGAATGTTTATTTTTAAGTTTTTGACATATAGCGACTGAAGATTTTATGAAAAAAACGGATCTAAAAAACATGGTTCTCAGCAGAATCTTAAATCGAGTTTTATCGTCACTCTGCAAACATCAACAATGCAACCAAATAACTAGAACGTGCCTTGCGCACCATAATGTTTTGTCATTTGTTGTAAATTAAAACCCGCTTCTTCCAATATGTAAGCTGCTCAATTCACGGTCAGTTTCAGTGTTATCATTGACTATTACCAATGGTGCATGAACCACCACTCTTTATTATAAATAAATAATAACACTTTTTCGATTGGCGATGCTATTACCAAACTTATGACCCATGTATTGCACGGAAAGAAGAAAGACGGGAAAGAAATTTGCAGTCGGGAACGAGGACAAGGAGCTTCGAGGAAAGACTGATTTTCTTCGCCATCTCCAATCCTCAAATTTTCGCCGAAAATGTAACTTTTGACCTGGAGTCAGTAAAAGCTTGAAAACAAAAATATCTGCTGAAAAAGCATCGAAATCTGAAGAACAGAGATAACCGCGAAGCCATATTACGGTTTTAACCATAATATTCCACTGAACCACACGGAAAAGTAAACAATGCATAATCTTGGGTGAGCAGACATAAAAAAACATTCTGAACTGACAATAACATAAATTTCTAATTGTCTAAATACTTTGAAGAAATCGTCTATGTTTATCAATGAAAGTTCAGGCCAAGTTATAATTTAAAGAAATAGCTCTGTTATAATAACAAGAAGTGCCTTTTTTTCGTGATACTCATAAAACAAAAGACATTCCGTTCCTGTGATAACTGGTCAATCTTCGAAATCCCATCACGCATTGCTTTCATTTCCTTCTTCGACACATCAGCATACGCCGTATGTAGGTGGTTGAGAAGGCATTCCGGTGATCACTGTTTTCCTGTGAGCTCTTTTCCACTTATCGAGCACACCGTTTTCCATATCCTCTCCCAAAACGAAATATTTACTCCTGCTGATCACACTTTCTCCCAGTACACCAAACTATCAAATAACACAACCACAGCATTCCAAATAATTAATCTTAAAAATTTGTAAACTTCGCTGATCAGACTGCAGTAGCACTTCCGTATAGCTGCCCTCGAGACAACTACCCTAGGATAACTACCTTTGGGAACAACCATTCCAGGACAACTGCCCCCGACAGCATGCCTCCACGATGTTCATTTTTGCAAGCACGAGTTCTTTCGATCATTACTATGATTATCACAGTCATGATTTTTACCATAGTCTTATTATTAATATTGTTATTCTTAGACTTAGTCTTAGGCTGAGGTACATGCTTATGTTGAGGCTGAGATTGATGGTTAGACTTCGGCTGAGTTTTATGTGGGGGCCACAACTGAACTTCAGGTAACGCTGTGGCCAACCGTGAAGAGGTGTCCATCGGAATTACTTTGAGTCAAGTCTTCGGGAGCAGTTGTCTGGCGGTAGTTGTCCGGGAGGAACTTTCTTCGAGGGCGATTGTCCGGGGACATCTGTTAGAGGAGCGCTTGTTTTGGGGTATGTTCTTCTGGAATCACATAAAACATGGGGATGTTGGTGGTGGAGTCGCTTCAAATTCACGTTTTTGATTCTACCTG